GTAACAAATGTTATGATTTATAAAGATCATAGATTTGCTTACTTCTTGTTACATCTCATTTACATCCATCACGGATCACTTAAGTCTTAACTCAATCAGACTTTACCACCGTCGCTACTGGCCACAGTGACGAACTCATTTCATCTTTCAGATCTGACTACTACACCCTCTACGGGTTTAAATTGGTAATCACTATAGGAATGGAAGTGTTTAGAAAGAAATACTTTCGTAAACCCAAGTGATTGCCTTTAAACCCAGCAAACCTCGCTGGTATCATCGCAAAATGTTCATTATAGGAGTGGTCGTGTCGTTGTAATACACGCCCGTAAACCGAAATGTTCATTCAAAAACCCAACAAACAAATCGTTGGTCTCTACACGATAACGTGTTCATTATAGGAGCGGTCATGTCGATATAATACATGGTCGTAAACCGAAATGATCATCCGAAAACCTAACAACTTAATCGTTGGTCATTACATAAGAACGTGTTCATTATATGAGCGGCCGTGTCGATGTAATACATGGTCGTAAACTAAAATGATCATCAAAAAATCCAACTACTTAATCGTTGATCATTACGCAATAACGTGTTCATTATAGGAGCGACCGTGTCGATTTAATACGTGGCCGTAAACCAAAATGGTCATGCAAAAAATCCAACAACTTAACCGTTGGTCATTACGTAACGTTTTTATTCTTGTAGCGTCGACGGAGGCTCGCCCGTAAACCAAGAAGTTAATCAGCAAACCAATCTAACACATCGCTGGTCGCAACAATATAATATGTTCGTCTTTGATGTAGAATTGTCAGCGACGAACTGCTCATAAACCAAAACGATCATTGTTTAAAGTCAACGGACGAATCACCAGTCCCAAAACGATATAACAATAGCACACTTGGGGTAGGCTGACCAATGCGCTAATGCTCATTTCAATAACTTAAGAGATCAAACATCGTAACTTACAACAAAAGAACGTTCGATACAAAAATCTCTAAAACCCAACAAATAAATTGTTGGTCACAACATCTTTTGGACGAAACACCGGACGGACATCATCTTCGGCATTATCCAAGTCTGAAATGATTTCAAAAGCATCCACGTCATGTTGACAGCGTAACCAAGAATCCGAAGAGTTAGAAACCATTCTATTCGTTACACCATCTCTAAAGCTTCACATAGTCAGGAACAACTTTTTCATATCGATGCCTTCGCGCCAGTTTTGCCACGATCAAATCCACTTCACTCAAGCTCATTGGGCGAAAAGCTGAATTTGTCATCTTCGAACTTGTCGTCAACATGAGCTCACCTTGTCAACGTCAACACGATTCCACCTCAGTGTTAAGTCAATAAAATCTGCTTTGGCTTCAAGTAGACACGACCACCTCGTCCTCAACACGAGTCTACCTCGACATCAAATAAACAAGTCCGCCTTGATTGTCCTTCCTCGCCAAGACAACCTCGTTGACTTGTCTCTAATCTCAAAACGACGTCGTCATAACCATGTCTCGTCGTCGTATCGATCAGATTTCACCTCGCAGTCACGTTTATAATGCTTTACCTCGTCGTCGCATCGATCAGACTTCGCCTCACAGTCGCGTTGATCAAGCTTTACCTCATCGAACAAGCTTCGTCTTGCTGTCGCATCGAACAAGTTTCGTCTTGCTCTCGCATCGAACAAGCTCGCCTTGCTCTCGCATCGATCAAGCTTCACCTTGCTCTCGCATCGATCAAGTTTTGCCTCGCCGTCGCGTGGATCAAGTTTTGCCTCGCCGTCGCGTCGATCAAGCTTTACCTCGCCGTCGCGTCACCTTCACTGACTTCGCTTCATCGTCGCGTCGATCAAACTCCAGCTCATCAACGTCACCTGCCGCAATTGAATCACCTCATCGCATCATCACCTCGTCGAGTCGTCGGATCCACAAATCAACCTTGCGTCATCGCATCGCCCAATCTTTTTAGATTCAACTCGTTGTCGCGTCGATCAAGTTTCGTCTCGACTAATCATCGCTAACCTCATCGAGCGCACGAACAGTCAAGCAGTGAACAGACAACCTCTCGGGAATCATCTAAGTCTAAAAATAGTCTTCATGTTGTCCTTGTCGCGAGAAAGTTCAAACTGTGAGTCCGTAGAGTCGGAAACCATTCTTTTCGATTCACCTCTCCGCTGCACCAAAGAGCAACGATCTGAGTCTGTGTCACTCCACAAAGCTAGCTTTGTCGCCGAGTCATCGAACCGTCGAATCACTGAGTCGCATAAAGAAAAAAAAAACCAAACTCGGCTGAGTTGACTCGGTCACCGAGTTGACTCGACCGAGTTGACTCAGCAACTGAGTTGACTCGGCCGAGTTGGCTCAATGTTAAGTCAACTCGCCAGCTTTCAAACCGCCGTTCAAATCACCGATCTCGCGTCGCCTCTCATTGTTATTGCCTCGCCTCGATCTCGTTGTGATGCCTGACGAGTCGACGTCTCACTGACGGTTTCTCTCTCCTCGCCGGAGATCTCTGAACCAGATGCTCCTCGCCGAAGGAGCCACGGTGGGGATTGTTCTGTGGGGGTGAAGGTCAGAGA